ACAGTTATTAAGAAGGTGTGGCCTCTCGTAGGTCCCGCAAAGTCAATATGAATGCGAGACCAAGGACCCCTGGGTGTCTCCCATTCTGTTGGTGGGGCTTTAGGTGGAGCTGAGTGGTTTTCCTGGCATTTATTACAAGAGGCGACCCAGGTTTCGATTTGTTTGTCTATACCAGGCCACCAGGCGTAACTTCTTGCCAGCGCTTTTATACGCACGATGCCCGGGTGTCCATCGTGTAGCATTTGAAAGACCCTTTTTTGTAACTTAGTTGGTACAACAACTCGGTCTCCCCACAAAACGCACCCTTTTGTGAAAAAAGTTCCATTTGTCTGTTTTTAAACGGCTTAAACATTTCCTTAGTGTCATAATCTGACCATCCCCTCTCCACCCAGCCAAGAACTCGTGCCAAACAAGAGTCTCCTTTGGTTTCAAAAGCGATGTCTTGAGCCGTTAGTGGAGGCGATGGCATTGTCTCTATTTTCAGTACGGGGAGTGTGGGAGCTGGGTCTTCCTGTGGCTCGGGTAGTGGTGAGTGACTCAAGGCATCTGCATGGGGAATAGATTTCCCCGGGCGATACTTTAATTGATAGTCGTAGGCAGCGAGAAATTCCGACCATCGTGTCATTCTGGGGGAGAGAATGTGTGGAGTAGGTTGTCACCCGCCAGGATCCCAAGTAGTGGCTTATGATCCGTTATAATAGAAAACGGTCTCCCATAAACATATTCATGAAATCGTTTTATTGCAGAGACAATAGCAAGGGCTTCCTTATCTAATTGGCTATAGTTTCTTTCTGTTTTTGATAGAGTTCGTGAAAAAAATGCAATTGGTGCTTCTGAGCCGTTTGGTAGGACATGGCTCAGGATGGCCCCTACCCCAAATGGTGAGGCGTCACACGTGACAGTCAAAGGTAGTGTCTCGTTATACTGAATTAGTACTGCCTTTGAGGTAAGGAGGACTTTTACTTGCTGGAAGGCGTGTTCCTCCCGACGTCCCCAATTCCAGGATGCCCTTTTATCGAGTAGTCTATGAAGGGGCTCAGCAACAGTCGCCTTCTGGGGTAGGAAGATGTTATAAAAGTTAATAAGTCCCAGGAAGGCTTGGAGGTTGGTTTTGTTTTGGGGTCTTGGGGCGTTTTTGATAGCTGCCAATTTTTTTTCTGTGGGGTGGATTCCTTGCTTGTCAAGGAGGTAGCCAAGAAACTCCACCCTTTCTGTGCAAAGCTGGCACTTTTCCTTCTTAACCTTGAGGCCAGCGTTTTTGAACCTCTGTAGGACTGTTCTGAGACATTTTTCTAATTGGTTTTTTGTGGGTGCTGCTATTAATACATCATCAAAATAGGGCATGACCCCTTTTATCCCTTGTAATAGTCTCTCCATCAGGCTTTGAAAGATGCCTGGGGCTACGCTTACACCAAACTGGAGCCTGTTGCGTTTGAATGCACCACGATGTGTGACTATAGTTTGGGCTTCTGCAGTCTCGGGATCAACTGGTAGCTGTTGATATGCTTGGGCCAGATCTAATTTTGTGAATATTTTGCCACCCCCAAGTGAATGCAGGAGATTTTGAACAACTGGCACTGGGTAGGCGCTCTGCTGTAGCGTGTGATTGAGGGTGGCCTTCTAGTCACCGCAGATTCTTATGGACCCATCAGGTGTTATGGGGGTGATGATTGGTGTCTCCCATCAGGCGTGGTCAATAGGTTCTAACATGCCTTGCGCAATTAATTTGTCCAGTTGCTCGTCAATTTTGGATTTAAGAGCAAAGGGCACTCGGCGTGGCTTTAGGCGAATGGGTGCTATGTCGGGGCGAAGATTAAATGAAATAGGGGACCCCTTGTACTTGCCTAGGCTTTTGTTGAACACTTCTCGGAAGTCATGGGTGAGAGCTGCCCTCCAGTCATTGTCTTCAGTATGATGGATGCCAGCCACTCCGATTCCTAATGGCGCGAACCACTGAAGACCCAATAGACTTGGCCGGTCTTAGTCTACGACGGTGAGTGGTAGAATTGCCTTATGTCCCTTGAACAAGACCTGCACATGGAGGGTACCTGTGACTGGAATCCGGTTGCCTTGATAGTCTTTCAGTATGAGTCTCTGACTGCTGAGGTCTTGGCGTCGGATGTTGGGGACTAGCTGCTTGAGTGTTCTCCAGGATACCATGGATAGTGATGACCCAGAGTCGACTTCCATGTTGCATGGTTTGTTTTCAATCATGACCTCTACTCGGATCTTTTTAGCGTCAAGTGATGAATCGTGGCCGATGGTGATGGTTTGATGAGCCTCCTCTCGTCTGGGGGCGTCATTAAACCTTCGGGGTCTGCTGTACCGGTTCCACTAGTTGCTAGGGCGGTCCCTCTGTGTGGTGGAGTTGCCATCGTTTCTCTTTGGGCTGCTCCCTCTCCGTCTGGGGCTGGAATTTCTCTTGTTTCTGCATACCTTCGCGATGTGTCCCCATTTCTCGCAAAAACGGCATATGGCATCTAAGAATCTGCATTCGGATTGGGGATGGTTTCCCCTGCATCCGGCACATTGGTAGTTGGCTTTGTGACCCCGCTGGTCCCGTTGCTCACGTTCTGACTGGAGCCTGTGGACTTCTTCTTCCTCGCTGTCTGAAGATGACTCGATGTCTTCACGATGGGTGGTTGATGTGTACTTGTCTGAAGGTTTCCCAGCATCGTTGGTGGGTTGGCGGTTGGTCCCGCTGGTTCGACGCATTCGTGCTGCCGATTTATGAGTGGCTTCGGCTGCTGTGGCATCTGCTATGGCATCTGCAAGCAAGATGTCTCCCTTGGCCATGATCTTGCTCTGGATGGTTGGGTCTCTGAGGCCAAGGACGATGCGATCTCTCATGGCTTCTTCGAGGTTGGTGAAGCCACACAGACCACCCAGGTTCCTCAGGTCTGCCACAAAATCCCCAACGCTCTCACCTTCACGTTGGTCCCTCTGGTAGAACTCATGCCTGTGAATGAGAGTTGGCACAGCTGGGGCGTAATGGTTGCGCAGGATGGGAGCAAGGCTGTCCCAATCCATGGTTTTAACTTCAGCTGGCTTGGCTAAGGCTTTAGCCATCTTAAAAATGGCTGGTCCACAATGGGTTAGAAAAACGGCTCGTTTCTTGCTGGGCGTGGCATCTTTGAGGTTGTTGGACTCCAAGAACATTTGAATTCTGTCCATGTATGAGTCCCAGTCTTCGCTAGCTGGATCAAATGGTGCGGGTGGTATAGCGCTGCTGGCCATGTCGCCGTTGTTGCGCTCTGCCAGCCACGGGCTCCTTCGGCTAGCTCAATTCAATAGCTTCTGTTGCCTCCGTATCCCATCTTCATCGCCAGTGTTATATCTGGGAGGACGGTTCAAGAACGGAGGCAAGACTCAGATAGTAACTAAAGCTCTTTATTTGTGACTTCAGATCTGAGCAACCAACCCCAGCCGCAGCAGCCCCTTATATAGGGCTGGCTGTGGCTAGGCAGCCAATGAAGGCGATTTGAGTTTGCCGCTCTTGGCAGGGCCAATCGCAGAAGCCCGTTTACTGGCCAATGGCATCAGTCTATAGCGACCAATCACGATCGGTTTTCAGCGGGCCAATCAGATTTGCAGGCTATGAGCCTGCTAGTCCGGAACACATATAGGGGCATTTTAGGCCATTTTTCAGGCCATTTTTAGTCATGAAAACAGGCAAACACACACTGGTTTGAAAGAAGGGTCAAAGAAACCAGCAACATGAAACAAGCAGCTCTCTAGCAACAGAGGGTGAGGAATATAATACCTCTATCACCTTTTTATAACACAGTTCTTTCAGCAATTCTAAAAATGTTCCACACCCATTTGCCCTACTAAAATTGACCCTGAGGACACAAAAAGACCTCCAAATGGCCTCAACAATTCTTAGAAAGAATGCTAACAACCAGAAGTTTGCAAGGAATGTAAGTTCTTCCATTCCCCATAATTCAGTCACAATTGAAGAAGCTTCTTGACTGTGAAACGTCTTCAAGGAAAAACAAAGAGAGTCTAGTTCCCTCTGGAAAAAGTAGCTTTGGGTGTTCTAGCAGCTGAGAATTTATAATTAGCAAATGGAACAAATGAGGTTATTCCTCAGGCCCTTTGCCAATGGGAACAGAGGACTCGAGGGATGCATGTGACTGTCCCATCCTCCACATCTGTCCCATGCATGTGAGGGATGCATGTGACTGTCCCATCCTGTCACAATCTCTCATCCCTGTTGTCCTTGACAAACATTTACTCCGGGTGAAACTGTGACACAGAAGCTGGAGGGGAGACAGCTCCATTGATCATTGAGATCTACCTAAGGTAAGTGACCAAGTCAGGCAGGATGGAGGAGGGAGAAGCATATCTAAGTGGGATGGGAAGAGCACTAGCCCCCACCCACCCACCCCTGGACTTTCCTACCCTGAGATACCTCATATGCACTTAGCAGGCAAAAGCAGGGAGTGATCACATTTAAATTTTGTTATTCATTCCTACAAATCCTCGGTTTATGAATGTAATTGGCAGACTCGATTAAATACTTAACTTGAGAACTACCTGTAACCTTCACACACACACACACACACACACACAGAGAGAGAGAGAGAGAGAGAGAGAGACAGAGAGACAGAGACAGAGAGAATTTACATTTCTATTTTGATTTATGGATCTAATGGTTATATTTTTGTCTTGCAATTCATATGTTCCTGCCTCTGAATGCCCTCATGTTTTGAAGTTGTTCACATGTGTGTGTCTCACTATCATTAAGAAATTGGTCAGTTTGTCTCTTCCAGTCCTACGGCACTCCATGAAAATAGGAGCAACTGACACTGAATAATGGCATTCATTTTCCCCATCCTATTCCATCCCATTTCTGGGAGCCTCAAAGCTTTGATAGTATGTTGCAGTCCCTAGTTTTATCTGAAAAACATTTCCGGAAGGCCAATCTGTCTGATCTATTTCAAAGATCTTGTTGCAGACAAAGATATTTTATCAACAGAAAAAGACACTCATGGAAGATGTCAGTATTCATGGAGTTACTATTAATAGGATTATCTGAAGTGATGTTTAAAAATCCTAGCCTTCAATGCAATTTTCAGGAGCCTCTTCCTATTCGTCATATCTATCATCAGCTTGGAGACATTAACATTGCTGGCATTATTTCTGTATGCTTGATATTTTCTGACCCCATTGATTTCAGGCAACATCCTTCTCAGGCATTTCATGAGGGACTTTTGTAAGTACATCATTAATTTATTGTCAAGCTCTGCACTTTGCTAGTATATCACATGATGCTTGAGATATTTTCCTCTAATGGCAAAATCTCCTCATAGAAACATCTAAAATAGGATGCCAAAGTTTATCTTATCTGATATTATATTTTACTTCAGTTTCCAGATAAAGTTGAAATGGAGATCAAATCTCCATTTATAAGAAATCACATATCAATATCTATTAATATACAGGTATATATAGCTTAATTTATGAAGCTGTTACTACAATTAATGAAGGTAAAGCATATATTTCCCATAAGTTTTATCATTTTCTATTTCTGGTACCAAAAGGTCACAATTTCCTTTTGCCTATAAACCATTCTTAAAAGCTGCAGTTTAATAGTGGGCCATTCTCACATACAGAAACACAGAAATAAGAATTATTTCACACATTCCACAAAATGTGTTGTATTAAAGGATTGTAAGTGCCATAATGTGAAGCAGACCTTTCTTAATGTGCTATTTTTAATTCTGTTTTACAGGATATTTTTTCAGAATTACCAGCATATCCTGGCCTTAGCATTTACTATAAAACAGATCAATGAAACCCCCCAGATCCTTCCCAACACCACGCTGGGCTTCCACATTTTTAACAGCAATTTTAGTCCAAGTTGGACCTACTTTGCCTCAATGGTTCTGCCTTTCACTCAGGGCAAATTCATCCCTAACTACAAGTGTGGAATCACAAATATCTTGGCTGCAGTCATTGGGGCACCTGATATCTCTCTTCACATGGTGACTGTATTGGGTATCTACAAAGTCCCTCAGGTAAGATGTCCTGAAGATATACATTATCATTTTGCCATACCTCCACAGACACTTATATGCTTCTCTTTGTAAAAAGGAGAGACTTTTCTGCTTGATAGAATCATCACAGCAGCATAAATAATTCTTATTCTGAACAGACCCCCAAATGTGCCTCAATTCCAGATGTTGAACGTTCAAATTTGAAATGTTCACAATGAGATTACTTCCAGAAAAATGTATTTATTGAAAGCTTAAGAGTGACATCCTGGCTGATATTTTATAAACAACACAACTGATTGCATAATTATAGTATATAAAGTCAAAGATACCCAAGGATTCAAATTAATAAATATATTTTCAGAAGCTCACATAGACATTTGCAATTGCATATATTTACCTTTCTGTAGTTGACCTATGGCTCTGCTCCAATCATGGATAAAGCGACTCAAGCAGTTTTCTTTCAACAAATGTTTCCGAATGAATCCCACCAACGTAGGGGCCTCCTGCAGTTATTGCTGTATTTTAGATGGATCTGGATTGGAATTCTTGTGGTAAAGGATGAGAAAGGAGAGAAATTTCTCCAGGAGGTGATCCCCACATTTTCTGAGGATGGCATCTGCGTTGAATTCATAGCAGAGTTCCCAAATGTAGCTTTTTACAGTGATTTTAGTGAAACCGTAGCTGAAGGGGTAGATGTATACCATATTCTCATGAAAAGCACAGCCAATGTGATAATCTTATATGGTGAAATTCAGTCCTTAGCATTTCTGAGAACTTTCCTCCAATTTTCAGCAGTGGAGGATATACCAAGGAAGAAAAAGATTTGGCTAATAACAGCTGAGACAGATTATACTTCTACTTCCTTTCAAAAATCTTGGGATATCCATTTCCTACATGGTGCTTTATCCTTTGCAGTTCACACAAAAGAAGTCCAAAACTTCCAGGAATTTCTTCAAAATCTAAATCTAAGCAACAATCAGAACGATAATTTTCAAAAAGATTTTTGGGAGCAGGCATTCAGCTGTTTCTTCTCAAACTCAGAAAAGGAGGAGTTTGAGAAAAAGTGTACTGGACAGGAGAAACTTGAAAACCTTCCTACATCTGTGTTTGAAACACACATGAGTGGACAGAGTTACAATATTTACAATGCAGTCTATGCTGTGGCACACGCTTTACAATCTCTTTCTATGTCGAAAACTAGAGAATCAACAATGATGAGAGAAAGAAGGAAACCTTTTCACACTCAAGAGTGGTGGCAGGTAAGTCTGTTAGCAGAGTAGTACAGAAACCAACATATCTGAAGTTGCAACATGTGCCCATAAACTCTAGCAAACAATATTCTCCAGGAATATTGATGCCTGAAAATCCAAAAGTGAGATCTAATAATGGATTAACGAATCAAAATATTCATATGCTGATATTAAAATTGTAAATGGCATTCTACAAAATTCTTTAGAATATGCTTTTCTCCATGAAATTAACTTCCCATGAAGCCCAAAACCAAAGTGACAGATTGAAATTCTTCTAAACTGATTTCTTCTTGTTTTACATCTATAGATAAAACCTTGTCAATCTGAGCACTCTACTATCTGTATCTGTAATTTACTCTGTTAATTATTAGCAAGGGGCTTCACAGACATAATATCCCACCTGAATTGCCCTTTACTTCTCTGAAATTCATCCCATCCATCCTGGGAAGCCACTTCCTTACTATATTCCATCACTGTTCCATAAATTCAGTCTATTCATCAAGAATGTTCAAACTTGACAAATTTAAGATTTATGGACTTCAACTCCCAGAATTCCTGACCTAACATGACTGGAAAAGGAATTCTGGGAGTTGAAGTCTACAAGTCTTCAAACTGTCAAGTTTGAAGACACCTGCTATAAATAAAGGGAAGGAAGTCATTTATATATAGTTAATTTCGAATGTTGGCATTGAATCAGTTACAGTTTATTGATCTTTTTATTTTATTCATTCATCTAATCATTTATTCGTTCATTCATTCATTCATTTATTTTTTATTTATTTATTTATATTTATTTTATTTATTTATTTTGTCAAGCAATATAAGATAACATAATATAAGGTAAGATCTTATGGGATCTTCGTCATACAATCCATGGGTGGAACAGAAAGGACTGATATATTGTGATTTTCGTACTCAAAGAAGATTCAGTATGTTGTAATGTTCCCTTTCTATGAGGCATAAATTCTGACATCTTCATAGATAATTTGAGAGCCACATTCATTTCTACACCCAGCTATTAAAAACAACACATACATAGTTTTAGAGCAAATGGGAAGCATTATATGCTTCCTGGAACAAGGAAGGCTCTTAGGAGAAGAAGAGAAAGGAATGAAAATGTTTTAAATATCTCAGGCACTTAATAAAAGACGGCCAAGGTGGGATATTACTTTGAGCCTACTTTTTTAAGATATATATACTTCCATGGGATGAAACATAGATTTCAAATGATGGACATTTCAGTCATCAAATTCAGCATTGCTTAATGCCGGATTTTAAATTCCAGCAGCTCCTGCTGATGTTGACTCTGGCTCGACTTTAACACATCCTATAAAAGAAATATGCCCTTTGGTCCTCAATTCCCAGTGCCTAACCTCTCCTACTGAGACTTTCTTCCATAGGTAGTCTTATTTATTTTTAGGCCCCAAAACAAGCAGGCTTATTTTGGGGGAGGAGTATCTCATTTTTTTCACATCCAGAAGGTGATGAACCCGCCAGACATGCCCTCTCTGCCCAAATGCTTGCTTACCTATGGCCAAAATGGCCCAACCTCTTGGCACATCCTGGTCTCTGCATGTCCTGCTTACTGGCCCTGCTGCTACTGGGACATTTCTCAGCTGCTGGCCACCAAGCAGCTGCCAGTGCTGCTGATTGCCTCATGGGGGCTCTTCACCCTCCTGATAGCACTTCTATCAGCCATCCTGCTAGACTGCTCCTGTCTAATGTGAGGTGAATAATCCCAGATCTATGTCCCTTGAACCAGCACCCCCCGCCCCATTGCTGGTGGAGCTCACACAGCTGTCACATGGAGGGGGTGTG